TCTTCATCCCTCCATGCCTCCATCCCTTCATCCTTCCATCCATCGAATCCTCCCTCCTCCATTCTCCCTGCTCCCTCCTCCCTTCTCCTCCTCCTCCTCCTCCTCCTCTTCCTCCTCCTCCTCCTTTTCCTCCTCCTCCTCCTCCTGCTCCTGCTCCTCTTCCTCTTTCTCCTGCTCCTCCTCCTCCGCCTCCTCCTCCTCCTCCTGCCTCTTCCTCCTCCTCCCTCCTCCTCCTCCCTGCCCGTCCTCCTCCTCCTCCTCCTGCTTCTGCTCCTGACGCTGCTTTCCTGCTCCACCCCTCCTCCTCCTCCTGCTTTCCTCTCCTTCCTTTTCTCCGCGCCTCCTGCTCCCGCTCCGCCTTCTCCTCTCCTCCTCCTCCTCTTACCTCCTCCTCCTCCTCTTCTTTCCTCCTCGTCGTCCCCCTCCCTCCCTTCCTCTCCTCCTCTCTCCTCCGCCCCTCCGCCCTCCCCTCCTCCTCCCCCCTCCTCCTCCCTCTCCTCCTTTTCCTCCGCCCTCCGCCTTTCTCCTCCCTCTCCTCGTCCTTCTCCTCCTACTCCTCCTCCTCCTCCTTCCTCCAGTCCGTCCTGTGTCTCTGTCCTCCGTCCTCCGTCCTCCGTCCTCCCTCCTCTCTCCGCCGTCCTCCCTCCGCCCTCCGCCCTCCGCCCTCCTCCTCCTCCTTCTCCTCACTTCCTCCTCTGTTCTTCCTCATCCTCCTTTTCCTCCTCCTCCTGGTCCTCCTCCTCCTCCTCTTCCTCCTCCTCGTCCTTCCGAAAGGCGGACTGAATGAAGCGAAACTGGAGCCCAACGCTGTCCAGCCATGGCTCCCCGCTGACTCGAGGTTTCCGCGCGCAACGCATCGTCTTATCTGATATTACTGTCGAACCTGGGACAGACTAACATCCTTCGAGGACATGAGAGCCTCCGCCGGCCAAAACACACACACACACAGAACATCCAAGGGTACCCTCCCCCAGGAGGCACAAGAACATTCAACAACAGACACGAATAACATTAGGCCACCCTTGCCGAACCGACCTCGATCTCATACCTCGGTCCGATCGTACCTCCTCCCCCTCCACCACCCTCCCCCCCCTCGGCCCCTCCTCGCCCCCCCTCCCCCCGTGGGAGGCGGGGTCGCCTGGCTGGGGGTGGCGGTCTTGGGCCTGTTCCTTTGCGGGGCCGGCTTGGGCTGGTCGTCTGGCCTGGGGGGGGAGGAGGAAGGGCGAACCTCACTTCTCTTCTCTCTTTCTCTCTCTCTCTCTCTCTCTCTCTCTCTCTTCTCTCTCTCTCTCTCTCTCTCTCTCTCTCGCTGTCTCTCTCTCTCTCTCTCTTTCTCTCTCTCTCTCTCTATCGAGGAGCTCTCTCTCTCTCTGATGATGATGATGCTGCTGCTGATGATGCTGCTGATGATGATGCTGATGATGATGCTGATGATGATGATGAGATGATGATGATGATGATGATGACGACGATGATGATGCTGATGATGATGATGATGATGATGATGATGATGATCGCACTCCCCTGAGCGCGCCAGAGAGTCGGGCAGTTCAGCTGCTCCCTGCCGCGGGCCTCCTGATGAGCAAGCTCCGCGCGACACGCCGCTTCTTGGCGATGTGGCGGGCTCGCGCGCGCAGGAGAGGCAGCAAGCAATCGGGCCCGTACCTGTGCGAGCTCCTCAAGGTGTTAAAGGTGGCAAAGAGCAGGTCATGGACGAGAAACATAGAGTACAACTGTTGACTAGAATGGCATGGCATAGTGCACAGCATACGCGCATCAAGGCTCTGATTCATATACTCGACTGGCAGGAAAGGCAGAACGGAGTGTAGCAGGCTCAGGACATGAGGGCAATCGAAATAATGCTGGACGTGGTCGCCGTCTGCGGCTCGGCAACCGAAACGGCAAGTAAGACGGCCCTGCCTATACCTAGCAGAGGTCGCCCACGCGTTGCAGATGGTTGATGGTTTTAAGAATGGCAGCAGCCACAAAAGGGCCGACGCGCGTGCAGGCTAGCCTGAGCCTGATCACCGCAAGGTCGATACTAGAAGCACTAACCAGAGGAAAAGCGAACCGAATTCGATTGCCCAGGAGAAAACCCGCGGAGCAACAAGGGGCCTCAGAAATCAACTTCTTCAAAATCCGTTTCTGCAACTCGTGAGTGTCCTCATCGAAGTGGTTCCACGGCAGGGCTGTTAGACGCTCGTAGTTGTGAATCAGGTGGAAAACAATGGACTCGGCACGCCACGTCGGGAACCGCTTGACCGCTAGAACATCCCAGTCCTCATTCTCAAGCTCGTGAAAGCGCCTCCGGATGCCGTCAAAAACCTTGGACCGAACAGCGACCCGATACATGGCAGCCTGATTCTCCAGCACAAGGTTGCGCGGGGCAATTGGCCAGAGCAGCGCAGACGAGAGATTGCGGAGAAGATCAGTAGGAATGCTGTAGAACGGGCACGCGGTGAGAGTCTGCAATCCTTTTGTTTCCATGCGAAGCGCGTCC